GAGAAATACCTACGAATGGTTTTGCAGAAGTTGCATGACAGCAACTTCAAATTGAACCCGAAAAAGTTTTTGCTAAGCCTGAAATCTTGTAGTTAGGGCATATAGTAAACGAGGAGGGACGAAGGCCCGAAGAAAAGAAAATTACAACAATTCGAGACTGGCCCCAACCTAAGACTATAACTGAGTTAAGATTTTTCCTATGACTTGCTAGTTTATTACCGGAAGTTCGTCAGAAACTTCTCTTTGATAGTTGCTCCCATGAGAAGACTTCTAAAGAAGGAAAAAACTTGGTTGTGGGACAAAGATTGTGAGTCGTCATTCAGAAAGTTGAAGTATATTTTGACTCACTATCCTGTCTTAAAGGTTGTTGATCCTTTTCTCTCTTTCATCATCACGACTGGTGCAAGTCAGAATGGGATTGGAGTTGTGCTACAGCAGGATGACGGTAAGGGATATAGACCTATAGAGTTTATGTCCAGGAGACTTCCGTCAAAGAAAGTGACTAACTCCACCTACGAGAGGGAATTGTATGCCTTAGTTGCTGCACTGGACACCTGGAAGCACTACTTGTTAGGGAGACACTTCACTGTCTACTCAGATTATTCTACTCTGAAGTGGATTAAGACCCAGCCTAGACTCTCTGATAAGTTAGTTAGATGGTCCGCTTTCATCGACACCCTTGACTTTGAATTGAAAACTATCAAAGGAACGTCTGATGTGGTTGCGGATGCTTTGTCCAGGCGTGTAGACTTCTTTGGAACTATTGTCTCCTATCTCGATATCGGGAATGAACTAAAGGAACAAACCCGGAAGGGTTATGAGAGTGATCCTATTTGGAGTCTTATCATTAGGACCCTACGAAAGAATCCTGAAATATTCCCAGAATATCAAACAGTTGCAGCACGCCAGTTGGTTACAGAGCAACGTAAGCCTCTCCAGGCTCTTCCCGGAAGTTGCAGCCTCGACGGGCAGTTGAGCCCAGGGCCCCGCCCTGGGCATGTGCTTTCAGAGGCCGACACATCATACAACAGCCACGGACCAATGAGATTGCAGCATTGTCGGGACATAGTGGCCGTGAGCCAATGAGATCACAGCGAACATGTGGAGGCCCCTGGACTGCCTGGATGTGCCCAACTGTAAAGGGCCCAGGTCCGTAACTCCAATTGGGCCTGGGCGCAGGCATTGAGGCCCGATTGGAAGCTACTGGATGCTCGCCCAGCCAAGCCCAGCGGCAGCAGAGGTTGAGCTCACTTTCCATATAGGAAAGTGAGCATCGCTGGGCAGGTCATTCTGGCCTAGGCAGGCAATGCGGCCATGCTGCTGCGTTGCAACTTCGTGATCTGCACGAAGCTGCCGGCTGGGTCGCGTGCACGGGCGCCGGGGTGTGAGGTGCACTGCTGGGCACTGGGCGCACGACAGCCATAGCCGGGCTGCTGGGCGCAGGTCTGGATGGCGATGATGGTCTTTGGGTGTTGAGAATGCGCACTGTGGGAAGTCAGTGGTGATGAGGGGAGAGACGAGATACATACCTGGTGCATGAGGGAGGTCAGCTATGCTGTTGATGTCATGTATCTTGGTCTTCAAAGTCGAAGTGAGCCTGTTGCGTGAACCCTAGTGTAGTAGGATAGGCGAGTAGTGTAGGCTGGACGCTGGGCGCCAGACAGAGTAGGAGCGACATTGGATACGGTGTTGGTGTGGCCTGAGGGCTTGGACATTGGCTCGTGAGTTACATTTTATTGCTCTTATTTGGATGGAATCTCGGTGCATTTGCGGTATCTGCTTGTACATGACTACTTGGACATCTGTGTGATTTCGCAACTTAGTTTTCTGTACATCGCTCTTGCTCATGTTCCTTGCACAGGACTCAATACTATGACTGTAAGTGGAAGTGAGATGCCCGAAGCCATTTATTTTTATGTATGCCCGCATGCAGAATATGGTATTATTGAGTGACCATGTAATCATGTGATGTGGATGTACATATGTGCGGGAAACACGGAACCAGACTTGATACCAAGACCTATTGTGTGTGATTGTGATAGACTACTGAATGCACTAAGCAATATTACGGGCAGGAGAGATCAACAGTAAGACCATTAGCCAGTGTCCTCAAGAGCCCACGAAGGAAGAATCCAGCATACAACAACCAGGACTGAGAACCCTTGGGTGCTGCGCAGGCAGTGTCTGTATAAGCTTACCGTGCGTCAGCCCAAGGGGGTGTGTGTCCAGCCGTGCGTCATTCTAACGCCCTGTCGGTGTCCATGCGCAAGGCTGCGATTGAGTTTTGAACCCGCAACCTCATACGACAATGCGCATTTCCAACCGGTGCTCTAACCACTGAGCTACATCAACTGGACAGAGACACATCCCCCTTTCAATTCCGGGAGGGCACCAGTCCGGTTACTTATCACCAGCAAGCATAAAAGTAGAATATGGAAAAATGGTCTCAGTGATCCAAGGCTTCTCGTGAGCAGTGGGAGACTAATTAAAGTACTCAGTCCTACGCAGCTAAACCTCGAGGCCATCAAGAGACCTTTCCCCTATTCCACTCATCCCAAACCACCCCCCTTTGTACTCATCCCAAACCACCCCCAATTGTACTCATCCCAAACCACCCCCCATTGTACTCATCCCATCTCATAGCGGATAACAGAGTGTGTTCTGAAAACTGTGGGCAGCATAAGTCCGCTGGCATTAGGCCGAGCAGGCCCTGGTATCACATAACCGAGAGTGAAAGTCCATGAATGATGTCACAGTCTGAGGCTAAAAGCAGATTACAACCTGAGGGATCCTGTTAGTCAATGGCCGGGCTGGCGTCAGCATTGTATAACTGTTACTAATGTCTGTAAAGTCTGTAAGAACAGTAACTTTGGCTCCATGACAAACACATAAAAGGGATGCTGGACCCGGTTTCCAGCAGGTGCAGCTCCCCACCAATGGAACGGATCCATCCAAATGCGGGAACGGTGGAGGGGGGGTCTGCTCTTATCAGCACCTCCCCCACACCCATTGTCGATGTGTCTTCGGAAAGAAAAGAAAAAAAGAGAGAGAGAAGCTGCAAAAAACTGGCGGTGCACCACCCTCGGTAGCACCGCGCCAGGAACCTTCCATAGCGTTAGCGAGCTCATTCCGCACACAAATTGAAAGAGGACCAAACTGTATTATCTCTCATTGCCAGCTTGTTGGAGATTCAAATTTTGGACAAACTTTGGAATAAGTGGTTTGGTATTGGTAGCAGTTTTTTGTGTAATTTAGGAGACTACAGTGATGTTCTATGGGACTCTGGACCCAGTTTCCAGCAGGTGCTGCTCCCCACCAATAGACTGGAGCCATTAGTAGAGCAGGTAGGAGTGTATGCTCATACCATTACTCCTAGCTGTTGCTACTGGTGTTTATTTAAAATTAAAAAAAAAAAAAAAAGAGAAACAGAATATACAAAAAAGTTTTAAAAAGTTAAAAAACAAAAAAAGGGGAAACCAATGGGACCAATACCTTCAGAACACAGTCTACAAAAGATAAAAAGGGCCCCCCACGGGAGGGGCCCTTCAAGACTAAGAACCTAAAACTGGCGTGTTATGTCCTAAGACTGACCTTGGAACTGGCAGCTGTAAGGAAAAACAGCAGACTGTGAAAAAAAAAAAAAAAAAAAAAAAAAAAAAAAAACCAGCAGACTATGATCCTACCTAACACTGGCCTAGTAAGTAATAACTTGAGAAAACAGCAATCCACAGAGTCACAGACTATGGTCCTACCTAAGACAGGCGTATTTTGTCCTAAGACTGACCTTGGAGATCGCGACCAGAAGGAAAAACAGCAGACTATGGGGCTCGTTCCAAACTCCTCGGGCGCGTAAATCCCCCGAGGAAATGATCGTTCCACTTATCCTCGGGGAAGAAATTGAAAAAAAAATGTGAAAACATTTCCTCGGGGATTCCTCGGGCCACAGCCATTTCGACGCGTTCCCCAAGGGACCTCCCGAGGTCCCTCGGAGGTCGAGCATCCGGAAGAATCGGGATGTCGTCGGCAGCTCTGTCGACGACATTTTGCGACGGCCGTCTGTACCACTGTTGTTCCTGGCGCCCGTGGACGGACATCTTCGATCGGCAACGGTCGGCGTCATGGAAGAGTGCGCCAACGGTCCCCTTTTGCGGCCCGGTCGCTTCCCCGACGTCGAAAATCGGCTTTCTTGCGTCGCCAACCTTGTCCCCAAGCGGGAAGGCGCCCAACGGTCGCAAGATTCGAATATTTGAACCGTCCCCCGGCAGGGCGATTGCGCAATGTGTTCACAAACGGAATGCGTTACCGTGCTTTTGTCGTTTGTTGCRGTCAGGCGTTTGCAGCAGTGTCCGTCGCCGTTACGTGATAGATCCCCCATTGTCTACTAGCTGCCACTGTCATCCACGTGCTTTTCATGGCCGACGTCTTTCGGAGGCTGCCGCTGCTGCTGCTGGTCGTCCTATTGCTCCTCCTCCTGGTTGTCTTCCACGTGTGCATCCTCGGCGGCCTTCCGCGACGTGGTCGCAGAAGGAGGTGTGTGAAGAACAATGACAGAATGGAGGGCCGGAAGGCGATCAGCGGGTCCGCAGGGGAGCGCGGTGGGCGGTGGTCCGGGCACAGCCCGTCGAATAGTCCAAGGCCGTCGGAGCGGGGCACGCGCACCTGCCACCGCACTTGCAACCTCTGCCTGACACGGACGACGAGGAAGGGGACGATAGACGGTCACGGACCGTGCCGCTGGGAAGCGGATCCACCCAGGAGTGGGCGGCTACAGAGCTGTTTGGAAGCCGCGACGGCGGTAAAGGGCAGTCGTACACCGAACTCCTCCAGCAGGGGCTCAGCGACACCGATGGCGATGGCGGCGTGAATCTGTCGTTTGGACTCGGCAGCGGGAGGTTGGCAGTCGTCTCTCGAACGGTCGTCGTGAACCCCCATCCCGACGACGATGGCGGCGACGTGACGGTTGTTCAGCGATCACCCAGGTCTCCAGCGCCGCTGCGGGAGGCTTCGGGGAACAACAACGATCCTCCTAGGCAGCAATTTCGGTCGCCGTCTGTGTGTAGGGGTGCCTCCGCTCGCCCCCAGTGGATGCAGTCTCCGTCTCCCCTGTCCGCCGGTTCGAGTGCAGGTCGTCGTGTTGGCGAGTGTAGGGAGACGGCGCCTACCGTTGCTGATGTTGGTGACGCACGTGACGGAAGGGAGGTGTGGGCAGAACAGCGACGGTTGATGAGGTCAGTGCGGGAGGAGTCCATAACTCGGGGGGTGCAGCGATTGCATGTTGGGGAAGACGGGCACGATGGAGAGGAAGCAGGGGCGGACGCGCACGACCCCGACTGGAACGACAACGGCGCTGAAGGTTGGGAGGACGACGCAGGCAACATTTCGCCGTCGAAGCAGGCGGCCGCTATGGGAGGGAGGGGCGGGAAGACGAAGTCATGTGGCGGTAATGGTCGTCGGGGCAAAAGGACGGCAGGCAAGGGCAGCGATGCCGAAGGTGACGTCGATGGTGAAGGAGGTCGTCACTTCTGGTCCGTCGACGACAATATAGCCCTCATCCGGGCCAAACGTGATCAGGATGCGTATTTGCAGGAGATGGGCCACGCGTACGCTCGGATGAAGCCGCGAGAATGGAAGTGGCTGGATGTGGCGACGAGGTTGAAGAAGGTGGGCGTCGACAGAGAGACCGATTGGTGCGGGAAGAAGTGGGACAATCTAATGCAGAAGTTCAAGAAGGTTCATCATTTCCAAGGACTGTCCGAGAAACAAGACTTCTTCCAATTGTCTGGGAAGGACAGGATGTCGAAGGGCTTCAGTTTCAATATGGATCGTGCAGTTTACAACGAGATACTGGGGTCGACCGCCAAGAACCACACCATAAACCCGAAGAACGTCGCGGACACTGGCGCTCAGGGTGGTGTGCGTCTGCCGTCCGCCTCCTCTGCGGATCCTGAATCTGTGGGCGACGGGGACGGTGGTGCAGAGCACGACGACGACGATGACGGGTCCACCAAAGGTTTTTCGCAGACGACGGGTGGCGCAGGCAGTTTCGGCAAGAGGAAGAGCACAAGGCAACAAACATTTGAGGCTATGACGGAGTACATGGAGAAGCACGGGGCGTTAATGGCGTCAACGATGGAGAGCAACAACAAATGTCATTGCTCCATCGCCATACGTCAGTGCGAGGCGCTGAAAGCGGAGATCGAAGTGTTGAAAAAGCACTACGCAGCTCCAGACGAAGTCAGCAAGCTTATGTGTCACGCCTTGCTGGAGATAGCGAAGGCCATCGACAAATGTTAGATGCTCTGCTGCCTCTATTGTGCTCTCTGTTCGCTTGCATGGAATTGGACGGAGCGAAAGTGATAGTCTTTCCGTCGTCGATGTAGCTTAGCTTAGCCATCGCCGTCGTCGTCGATGTAGCTTAGCTTAGCCATCGCCGTCGTCGTCGATGTGTCGTTCCCCCAATGGCGGTGCTGGCCAAGGAATTGGGTACTGGTCCGATTCGGTGGATGAGTCCTTCTGTAAAATTTTCGTTTTTAAAATTGTCTTTTTTTTTTTACATTATTTGTTTCGTTTGTTGTTGGCCTCGATCGTGTGACGGGACGGATGATTCCGTCAACTCTGAATTGTAATTGGCATCGATGAAGTGCAGTATACACTTTCCTTTTTTACATGACGACATCGATTTCGTTCTCTCTCTCTCTCGTTTCTTTGTGTCTTTGCCGTAAATGAAATGCAGAGGTGTAATAAAGGTGTTGTCTTTAATGCCGTTGTTTTTCGATATTTTATGTGTTCAATCGAAATCGTCTCCCTCTTTCACTCCAGCGTGTGTTTCGGTGTATTCTCCTGAAATGAAATGCAATGGTGCCATGAAGGTGTTGTCTGTGCTGCCGTCCTTTTTGGGTATGCATTTGCTAATGTTGTGCATACACCCAATTAGTCGTCAATTGAGTACAGGCGTACTTGGGTTCGATCAAACGTCCCCCCCACAAGCGGATGTCGAGTCATGACAGTTGTACGGAATGCACGTTGTGTTGTGTGTTTTGTGTTGGTTTATTTACTTGTTTTCGTTATCTCGTAGATAGTTGGGTGGGGTGCTTTATTTCGGAATTTGGGAGGGGGAATATTGAACCCGTCCAGGCAAATATGCATGCCATGTTGGGGGGTCGGGGTAGGGGGCGGTTGGGGGGGGGGGGGGGGGGGGGGGGGGGTGGGGGCGGGGGTTGGTTTTCGCGGCTTTCCGGGGTAGGAGGCGAGTTCGGTCCTCGTTCATGGCTGGCATGGAGTGTGGACGATGGGAGGGTGGGATGGAGTCGTTTGTGGGGGCATAATTTCGGCCTGTGGGGTCCCTCCGTGTCCACAATCGACGAGGGGAGGCGAGACGAAGGGCGGTGGCGCAACGGATGCACGGCCGCGTTGCCCGCGACCCTTCGCCTTTCGTCTCGCCCGCCTCGATGACCCTGCGTTTTTCTTGTCTTTTGGTGGAGCTTGGAAATGACCCTCGGCTGGCCTTCGCGTTGTGTCTGTGCTGCCGTCCACCCCTCGTGACACGTGTTTATAAGGACGCGGGCGTTCTGCGCAAATGCACGACAACACTCTCTCTCTCTCTCTCTGCCTCATGCAGTCCCCGCCGCCCGCCACGCTTGTTCTGCTTTTGGTCGCAGTCGTCTGCGCCACTCGAGTCGCCTCCGTAGCCTGCATCCGCGCCTTCGTCGCCATCGTCGCCATCGAGCCTTTTTGTTCAACATCGTCGCCGTCATCGCCATTGTCGCCGCGTCCGTCGCCAACGTAGTTCTCTTCACTGCTTGCGTCTTCTTTGCAGTCGTCTTCGGCGACATTCTCCTCGGCGAGCACGTCTTTTCGTTCGGAGTCTTCACTGCCATCGTCGCCTTTCCGTAGATCCTCGCCTTCGTCGTCCAGATTGTCATCGTCACCGCGGGTGCGTCTTGCGCCATGTCCTCACGCGCTTCCGCACGCGGCAAGGCCGCCGCCAACCTCTCACAACAACCAGCCAACCTCTCACAACAACCAGCGACCCGGGAGAAGAAGGGCCGCCACATGGCCAGCAAGAAGAGGAAGATCCTCGAAGGCGCCCCGACACATGGAGGTTACGTGCTGGATGAAGAGTGGGTGCCGGAGGACGTGGCGACGCGGGAGGGGACGGATTTCGAAGACTCTGACGACATGCCGTTGCAGCGGAAGTCGTCCAGGCGGGGGAGTGGCGGCATCTGCATAGACGACGCTGGTGAAAGACGACGCGCAGGAGGGCGGCCAGCACCGGAAGATGTCGTCGACGTTGACGCCGCGACGGCAGCCAGAGAGGGTGGGGGAAATCGCGCGCCACTGCCACGTATGACTCCACCTACCGACGCGCAAGAGGGCGTGGTTCGCTTACGGACACCGCTGACACCACGCTCGAGGACGGCTGCAGACGTGGCCTTGTCGGGGGGGCCATCACAGGCGGCGGGAGGGGTGAGGGCAAGCGGGGCAGCGGGTGGGGGGGGATCGCACACGGCGGAAGTGGCGAGGGAAGGCGGGGCAGAAGCC